TTTAAATAATGACTTCATTATTTTACTAATTGTTTTTTATCTCTCTTTTTTAAAAATCCTCTCCTGAGGATATTTTTTTCCACTGCTTTTCAGAGAGAATAGAAAGGAGAAAGGGCGAGAGAGGAGAGACAAAGGGAAACATTGATGTGAGAGAGAGACATCAATTGGCTGCCTCCCACACGCACCCGACCAGGGCCAGGGATCAAGCCTGCAACCAAGGTACATGCTCTTGACCAGAATCAAACCCGGGACCCTTCAGTCTGCAGGCCGATGCTCTATCCACTGAACTAAACCAGCCAGGGAAATCTCACAGTTTTATAACAAAAACAAAACAAAACAACAACAAAAAATCAAGTAAAATGAAAAACCTGCCTGGGACCGAGATGGAGATGGACCAATGAGCACACAGCACACCTTCTCCAGGTCCTTCTAGAGCAGCAGTTCCCAACCTTCCTAATGCCGCGGCCCTTTAATGCAGTTCCTCATGTTGTGGTGACCCCTAATTTCACTGTTACAAATTGAACATAATTAGAGCATAGTGATTAATCACAAGAACAACATATAATTATATGTGTTTTCCGATGGTCTTAGGCAACCCCTGTGAAAGGGTCGCTCGACCCCCAAAGGGGTCGCGACCCACAGGTTGAGAACCGCTGTTCTAGAGCCTCACATGACAGCAGGCCTCCCAGACAAACTGTCCAGTTACACGGGGACCTGTGTCTGGTCACTACCCAAAACAAAGCAATAGAGACGCTTGTTAAAGAGAGCACTGGGTAGCCCTAGCCAGTTTGAGCCGGCCTGTGGACTTAAGGGTCCCGGGTTCGATTCCACTCAAGGGCATGTACCTCAGCTGCAGGCTCAATCCCCAGCCCTAGTCGGTGGCATATGGGAGACACAATCAATGTGTCGCTTTCACATCGATGTTCCTCTTCCTCTGTCTCTCCCCCTCCCCTCCACTCTCTCTTCTCTCCCTTTTACTCTTTCTAAAAATCAGTGGACACAATATGCTTGGGTTAGGATTTAAAC